GGCTCTGCCTCCCGAGTGCTGGGATTAAAGGCGTGCGCCACCACCGCCCGGCGCCTTGGAACTCATTTTGTAGACCAGGCTGGAGCTCACAGAGATCGGCCTGCCTCTGCCTCCTGAGTGCTGGGATTAAAAGGTGTGCGCCACCATAGCCCAGCAAAGATTTTTTTTTTTTTTCAAGACAGGGTTTCTCTGTGTAGTTTTGGTGCCTGGCCTGGCTCTCACTCTGTAGACAGGCTGGCCTCGAACTCACAGAGATCTACCTGGCTCTGTCTCCCGAGTGCTGGGATTAAAGGCGTGCGCTACCACCGCCACCACCACCACCGCCCAGGCCAAACAAAGATGGTTCTTTTCTGAGTATTTGGCCCCATTGCTGGCCCTTGTTCTGTAAGACTCTGCTCAGGACAGCTCTCAGACTCCGACCATCCTCCCCCTTAGGAAGTCAGACATAAGTCCCTTGCGCTTCTCCAGTGCTCACCACCACCCCTTCACTCTCATGCCTAGGAAAACTGGAGCCCATTGGAAGCAGCGTGCCCAAGTGACTTTAATTTTTGCATTTAGATGCACTGACGCATCCTGACCCTGAAGCAGGGAGCAGAAGACCACCAGACCCTGAGACATTTCTTTCTTACCTTAGGATACGGGCAAGTGTGAAAGGCTATGTGCTAAGGAGGGCTTTTCTCGAAGGATGACCCATCAGGGTGATGCAAAGGACGGCCCCCGGGTGTAACTGTAGGGCTGGGGCGAAACTGCCCCCAAATGTGAGGCTACCTTACTCTTTTCACCTTAGGTGTGGCCCTGCTCTAGAAAACCATTCAAAGTTGAAAATAGAAATATATTTCTTTCTCACTGGTGCTTGAACAAAATAGTAGTTATATGCAAAAAACCACCCCAAACAAAAACAACTAACCCAATTTGTACCATTATAGGGGGGGGGGGGGGCGGAGGATGGAAGACAAAAAAACCCAAACCCAAACCATAGCTTTAAAGACACCACGTGGTCTCGGTGGCGAGCCGGGCGGGGGGACTCACCTCTGGTACGGAGCTCACTTCGTGCACCTGCCCGATGAGCTTGCAGTAGGACTGGTAGAGCAGCAGCAGCTGGAAATGCAGCTTGTACAGCCTCTGGCAGAGCTCCAGCTGCTACAGAGAGGGGGCGCAGAGGAGGACAGCTGTCACAGCTCGTTCTGTCAATCTGGGGAGAAGCGACGCGCACACACTGCTTCTCTAAGATGCAAGGAGCCTTAGCTGTCTGTTTACACTCTAACCAAAACAAAACCAGACCCTCTCCGTAACATCCGCGAGACCCCTCATGGTATACTACAGAATATCATTTCTCTACAACGAAGTATGACTAATTAGAAGCAGCTAGAAAAAGGATGGAGGGAGCCACATTTCCGTTGCATTTGCCAACGAAAGACCTATAAATTACGGCTGAGTAGCTGGGTTAATGTTTATAAGCTACAAACTGCCTTTGAACAGCCAAGAATCCTTTTTTATTAAAGGGAAAGCTGACAGGCAAAACACTAGCTAGTTGTAGGTGTTAAGTTTGTAAGCTGAACTGCTGCTGGGGGCGACAGCTGTGTGAGTCTGGGCTGCCATGGGGGGGGGGGCAGCCACTCCCGAAGGCAGAAATACAAGCTACACAGTGATGAGAAAGAAGCCCCGTCATCCCCCCACCAATGTTCACGGCACTCTGAACGGTAGTCTCCTAGCAGCCTGTCTTACATCAACAGTGAGCTGGCTTCCATGGTGTATGGGGCCTTACAGAGGACGGGGAGAGCCTCCAGCAGGCAGGAGACTAGGACTCAGCAGTCTCCAGTGAAAGTGATTGTAAATTTAAACCAGGCATCCAAAGGCTCCGCTGTTGGGTTTAGAAGAGGCTCCCGCAGACAGGGTCAGTGGGAGCTTATGCCGTCTAAGGAGAACTCATCTCAGAATTGAGAGAGTTGAGGAAACTTCCCAAATCGGGTGAAGGAGATAAATCACAAGAGTTTTAAGTTTTCTGGAGTATATTTTGTTGATATCACAGACATGTCTTTTGATTCTGATTTTTAAGTTACTAAAATTGATGCATATATATATATATACATACATATATATACATATATATTTCATGCTAAGCTAAGCTCCTCCTTTCCCCAATTTTCCTCCTTCTAGGAGAAAACCAATTCTATTTAGATGTTATTTTTTCCTTTTTCAAAGTACTGGTAAAATAGCCCTAGAGTGGAGAATTAGTGCACTAATTAAGCAGGTCTTTGGTTGTTTCAGTAAAATTCCTTACGATAACTTAAACGTTGTTAAAAATGGGAACCCTATAAAATTTGATATGAAATGCATCTGCCAGGATCTTGCAAATTAATAAAAAAAAAAGTGTTTAAAAATAATGTTATCTTCCCAATTTAGGGTGAAACCTAGCCATGAAAACTCTTGACTTTCCTAAATGCCAAGTGATGGTATTTGTTGTTTAAAAATTTCCATGGAGAGAATGAGAATTCATAGCAATGTAGGTTTCTGTTTTGGGGAGAAAGCATCCCAGAGAACTACCAATAAGCTGCCACATCTCAATCTACCAAAGAAAAGAAAAGAAAAACCAAAAAGGGAAAACATGCTAAGAGATACAACAGTTCACGGTAAAAATCAGGCTCATGATGGGGTCCATGCCTCCGTGGACAAAGAATATGAAAGAAAAAGTTAACTTACTGCAAGAGATTCCATTTGCTACGCAGCAAGCATGGCGCGGGAAAGACAGGAAAGGAAAGAGAGGACAGGGTCAGTGTGGCATGCAATAGAAAGCATGGCCCTCTTCCGGGAGCAGAGCTGCCGCGGGGTTAGCTTTGCTGGCCCAGACCTGGCCAGCAGCCTGCCAGTGTCGTACCCATTCAACATGCACAGCGGTCTGGTGGAAAGACAAGCTTTAGTGGGCAACGTCATTGGAAAACATGACTCTTAGTCCTTGGGATTCTCGGATTAGTTGGTTTAGATTTTCTCTGAGTCCACCTGGGCGACTAGAAGTTACCTCTTTGTGTGTGTGTGTGTGTGTGTGTGTGTGTGTGTGTGTGTGTGTGTGTGTGTGTCCTGACAATTTGAGTACATTAATGTGAATAGCAAGTAGAAACATGATAAGCTATGAGGGCAACTGAGCAACCTGAAGAACTGTCCCCTGGTGCCAATTACAGTATCACTTATTTTCTTTAGTTTGGATTGTCTTTCAGACTGGGAATATGTATCGATGATTTTTAAAAGTTATGTATATGTGGGTATGCGTACCTGAGTGCTGGTGCCCTTGGGGACCAGAGGCAATGGATTCTCCCAAGAGCTGGAGTTACAGGCAGCTGTGAATCACCTAATTTGAGTGCTGGGAACTAAATCCAGGCCCCCTGCAAGAGCAGGGCCTGCTCTCAACCACTGAGATCTCTCCAGCCCTCAGATCGAGAACATGTAAAAGGCTGCTAGATATTCTCAAAGGCGTAGACATTGTATACTCTCGAACAAATATGCAGTGTAAGTATTTCCATGTATTTTATTTTTTATGATCACGGTTTCTTCACAGGTACTTGCCAATATATAACAAGGTCTGTGCGAGGCACATTGTCCTGCAATGGTGTGAGCATCCATCATCACACTTACAAACAAACAAACAAACAAACAAACAAAAGATCTGCTAAATCATTCCTAAAAGACAACCTAAAACTGGTTATTAACTTAAGATATTGAAATTTTACAAAATGGGCCATGTTCAGCTGTAGCTACTGTTTCTTAAATGTTACCAATGACACTCTAACCATAGAACCAGTTTGTGGAAAATTTTGGTAGGCGGGAAGGGGCACCACGATTTGAAGAAAATGTTGAAAGATTTTCAAAATCTGCCAGGCAGTGGTTAAATCCTTTGATCCCAGCACTCAGGAGGCAGAGGCAGACGAATCTCTGTGAGTTCGAGGCCAGCCTGATCTACAGCTTGAGCTCCAGGACAGGCTCCAAAGCTACACGGAGAAACCCTGTCTCGAAAAACCAAACCAATCAAAATCCATTTGTTTAAGCCAGGCCTTGTGGAGCACCCCTGTAGTTTCACACTTTGGAGGCTAAAGCAAGATGATCGGGGAGTTTGGGGCCAGCCTGGCTTTATAGGAAGTCCCTGCCTCAGCCCTACCCCAAACACCAGCTTGGTCAATTCAGTTGGACTCCAGTTACCGAGTCCATCTATCTCCGTTCTGAACTTTCCAAGTATTTAAGCACTACCTCACTCCCTTACTAATCCCTGGCAAGGAAAATTCTTAAAAACAAACAAAAAACCCAAACAACTTTTGGACTGTCAGTTTAATATAGTATACTTAAACACACGGTCCAGTGAATAACGAAACTGTCAGCTCGGCACTGGGGTCTACAAATGCTACTGAAGGAGCACTCAGACCCCCACCTCTGGTTCCTGGCCCCCCTGTCTCTCACCCACTCAGACCCCCGCCTCTGGTTCCTGGTCCCCCTGTCTGTCTCTCACCCACTCAGACCCCTGCCTCTGGTTCCTGG